CGAGCCGGTGCCACCGCTGGGGGACCACCACCGCCGCCACCGCCGCATCCCGACAGCTCCCAGTCCTCCACGGGGTCATCCCGTTGCAGCTTGGTGGTCTCCCCAACATCGCCCTCGGCAGCTTCCTCGCCCGGCCTCACCGGCTCAGCCTCACCAGGACCATCCTCCGCCGGGCCGGTCTCGCCGGCGCTTCCACCGGCTCCTGGCCCCCGGCTCAGCACCAGCGTCCAGCGGCGCCACGAGAAGATGGCCAACCTCAACAACATCATCCACCGCCTGGAGCGGGCTGCCAACCGCGAGGAGGCCCTCGAGTGGGAGTTCTGAGCCCCCCCCAACACCCTAAATATATATATCCACCCCCACACATATATATATATTTTGATAAATGCAGTGTGCACCGAGAGGTGACGAGTGGCCGGTGCCACAGAAGAGGAGCGCCAGTGGAAAAGAGGGAACACCCCTCTATGAAGCCACCCCCACCCCTCTGGCTTTGTTTTAAATGTGAAAAACTGGGAACAATTTTAGAAAAGAAAAACAAAAAAAACAAAAAATATTTATAGACCTCTTTTAGATATTTTAATAAAAGGATACTTTGGAATTTATTAACAGCTTAAGCTGCTTTGATATTAAAGATAGCTATAAAATCAAGATGATGTAGCAGTCGTGTCATTAAATGTACACTGAAGTCTTGTAGTTTGCCACTGGATGAGATTAAAAACAAATAAACAAAAAAACAAAAAAAACCCCCCAACCAAACAAACAAAAAAAAAATCCCACAGAAAAGACTTTTTTGAGCAAAGCCATCAAGAAGCACTATGAGACTGACCAAATTTAAGAAACTTTTGCAGTTTCCACCCCTGTCTGTAAGACACTGCATCGCTTCTGCCCCAGCCAGAGACTGCATCCTAGTCCCTGAAGACTCTAAAGCCCCTGACACCATCGAGTATGTATTTAGTTCTGGTGTTTTATGTTTTTGGAAGCCTTTGTAACACAGAATGTCCCGTGCGGTTGTATATGTTGTAGAAATGTCTGCAATAGCCTTCTGGAACAAGATGTAGCATGGTCCCAACGCCGTCCCTCGCGCTTCCTCCAGCCGGCGGCTCGTGCCAGCTCCCAAAGGAAGAGAGAAAAGGAGGCAAAAGCAAAGAAAGCAACCTGAGCTTGGGATTTTGGGAGTGGGATGGGAAAATGTACCTGGGTGTGGTGCTTGAGGATGGTGCCAGCTCGCTGGGGATGGACATCCGAGGCATCCCGGTTCCCCATCCATGCAGGAGAGAAAAAGATGAAGCCTCTGAGCTTTGGCCCTGGGGCAGCAGTGCTTGAGGTGAGTGCCCAAAAATCGTGAGCCACACACTCGCAGGCTGAGCCCTGCTCGGGGCTTCTCCAGCATCACAGCCAGCTCTTGGGGCTGAAGCACTTTTTTAGGGAGAGCGCCTGGGCAGGAGGAGAATCCCACTTCGCCAGGTGGTGGATGTCAGTGATGGCAGGATGAGCTCTGGGATGTCACATCACCCTCAACTGGGCACCACTGAGCTTTGGCTTCCCAGGGCTGACCCTGTGCAGACACAGGAGCTCGGTGGTGGCCCCATCCCAGTGTGCTCCTTGTCACCTCCCTGACCCCACCACCTCCAGCCAGCCTCTGCTAACGAAATGCCTTTAAACCATGTGGAGTGTCCCATGCTGGGCTGCTCTGCCCTGTCCCCTGCCCACACGGCATCAGCCATCGCCCACCAAGGCCCTGCCAGGCTCCCAGGCGATGCAATGACTGATTTTCCACTGTAGACGTTTTTATCAGAATAGAAGGTATTTTTATACTCGGGTGGCAGTGGGTGAGCAATGGGTGAGGGCACGGCTCTCCCTGGCTGCCTCCCCTGCCCTGACGAGCCCCAGGGTGCCCAGGGCTGCTCTGCCACCGTGCTGTGGAAGGAGGAGGTGTGACCACTGACTGCCTTCTCCTTTGCGTGCTAGAGGGAGCTTTAGTGGAACGGGATTTGAGGAAGCACTTAGGATAATCCTGAGCGCGGCAATCCTGTTGTGTGAAAGCCAGCGGGACACACCGGTCACGTTTTTGTTAGGCTCATGTTCTGTACTTCAAAAGTTTCTATGAGATCGATGAACTTTGTTTAACAATTTTGAAAGGAACAAGTTCTGTAAAGAGCCACTAAATACAGAAGTTGGATACGACTCTGGCCTTGGGGTGTGTTTTGTCCAGAGGTGATTGAATGGGAATTCCTCTCACACTTGCCCGGTGCCTGGTGTTGGAAGTCACAACTTTGCTTTGGGATTGTGGCAAGAGCTCTCATTATCCCAGTGACAGGGGGAAAAAAAGAGAGGGTGTTAAATGGGATCAGCCCAGCTCAGAGTGTGATCCTGCCCCATGAAATTCCTGTGCTCATCCCTGCTGCAGGTTTGCTCCTGCCCCTGGGGTAGCTCAGCATCCTCCAGCGCGACTTTCAGCTTGGTTTATCATAAAATCATCATTTCCTGGAATGGTTTGGGTTAGAAGAGACCTTAAGGATCATCTTATTCCATTGCCCTGCCACGGGCAGGGACCCCTCCAGCTAGACCAGGCTGCCCAAAGCCCTGTCCAACCTGGCACCGCTCCTCAGCACAGCTCCTGCTCGGAGCCGACCATCGCTGGGCGAGTCGGCAGCTCCTGACACGAGGCAGGGCTGTTAGTGTCTGATGAATTAATAAATCCATATGTTGCATATCTGTTTAAGCTTGTTTGTCAGCTAACACGTTGAGGAGGACTTATTTCTGATGGGTATCTGAACGTCTGGAGAAGCTGGGCCAGCTGCCATGGAAACCAGAATCTTCCCCTGCGGCGAAGGACGGAGCCGTGTGAACCATCTGGGTGCTCCGGGTGCAGCTGCACCCCGGCTGCCCTCGGCACTGCTCCAAATGCCAAATTCCACAGGGGGACACCGTGCCTGGCCAGGAGCAGGCTCCACGCTCTGCAGGGCTCTCGGTGAGTGGGTGACCCTGGCTGGCTTCGTGCCTCGGTTTCCCCAAGAAGTGATTGCACAGCCTCTGCCGTGATAAAGAGAAGCTGGAGGCATCCATGCAGGTGGGGATGTGTGGGCAGGGACATGGGGATGTGCTGGCCACTTTCACAAGGACAGAGCCCCTGGTCCCAGCGAAGGAGGGACAGGTATTTTGTCCTGGTTAAGAGCTGCCCCTGCCAAGGGACCACTCTGGCACGGGGTGTCCTGATGTTCCCAGGGTGGCTCCATCCCATCTCACCCCATCCCTGCAGGCAGATATGGGGCTCCAGGGCACTGCAAGACCCTGGCATTGGCCATGTCCCCTTCAGGTGACACAGCCCCACAGACATGGTGGGGACAGAGGAGGACTAAAATAAAGCATTAATTCCCACCTGGACACCCCTCCCCAGGGGCACAAACAAGAACCATGGATGGGAGGGAAATTCTGAAACAACTTTTATTGTAGGAAAATCTTGTGTCTGTCCCAAGGGAGCAAAGGGAGCTGGAGCCACCCAGCCCTAAGCCAGGATCCCCTGACTGCTCCCCCCTGCTCCAGGGTGGGTCACCCCACCTCTGGGCCAGCAGTTTGACTGTCCGTGGTGGAAATAAGAGAGAAACACAGGCATGAGGCACCAGCTGGGCACATGAATCATTCCTCACGCTCTGCTGCTGACACACACATTCCCATTTGCCATCACGAGCGATGCTTCCCCTTAGTGAGCTGGCATGGGGATGATGTGCTGTCCCAAAACACCCACCAGCAAGGCAGTGCCCGCAGCTGCTGCATTCCCCCAGGGTCTGACCATCCCCACATTGACCATCCAGGCTGCGAGCAGCAATTGCTCCCTGTGTAATGCCCGGGGCTGGGTGTCACCAGCTCCCCAGAGCGCACAGAGCTGCTGCTGCCGTTAAGGAAGGGCTGCACTCACTGATATTTTAGTTTCAAACCACATCCTGCTGGAGCAGAGGGATCTGGCAGAGCTCGGCCAACCTCAGTGTTGTGCTGGGCTAGGAAGGGAAGTCAGCAGCAGGCTCTCCCTTGTGGAACACCCACACGGGCACTCAGGCGGGCGAGGTCCCACCAAAATCCTCCTCCAAACGTTGTCAAGGCGTGATCCCACTGCAAGAGCACCAAGAGGCCCCAGCAGAGCCAGAGCAGTGGTGGATTCCCAGGAGGCCTCAGTCAGTGAGCGGTCTGTAGTTTGCTTGTGCTGACTGCGGCACCCCACCCGCACATGGGGGCACGGCCGGAGGGCACCCCTGTGCTGCCCATTTCACAGCCATGGCAGCACGTGTGGTGGCATCACCGCCACCACAGCCAGCTCCGCACATCCCGAGGCGAGGAGGGGACGGGGCCAGCACCAAGGGCGACCACC